GATGCAAGTGCTTCACAGACATCCCTAATCTCTGACATCTTCATTTTGCTCTTTTTTTTTTACTCTTTGTTTGAACACAAACACTGTTCTCACAGTAAACTTAATGATATCATGTTTTGTTATCGGAGCGTTTTAAAAGAGTACAGCTAATAGGGGTGTGAATATTTGTCCTCTATCATAATTGTTGTTTAAACAATGGACAAACTGTGCAAGTGTAAAAGTGTCCCCCCCCATTATTCAAAGTACTTATTGTTGACTCAAGTATTTACATATTAAACTGAATTGAACATAAAACAAGTTAACTTCATTGATTTGTGTTAGAAAGGTCTGTGTGTATTTTTGGTGTATTTTGACATTATCTTGTCATCTTGGAAACTTGGATATTGAAAAATTAAAAGCAAGCCTTTGTTTTTTGTTTTAAAATTAAAAAACAAAAATTGAAATGTGAGGCAATTTTCTTTTTTATGGTGAAAAATGGATGAGCAAAATTTTAAAATTATTTGATTCATTTTGTTTTATTTTGAATAACAATAAATAAAATCAGTAGAAAGAAGCTATTTTTTATATTACAAGACCAGATAGGCCTTCTCTTTCACAGTGACGCAATGCTGCCTCACAAAGATTACTATAGGCTATTATTTTTTTTTTTTACACTAAAGTATGTCAAGTTATTTTCTTGTGGTAATGGGATTTAGTTAAGACATTTTCTTTATTAACTTTATTAACTGGTTATATATAGGCAACAGTAGTGCTTTTAAATGGCACAAATCTGAAAATAAAGTTTATTGGTAAAATCACTTCCACTTCCTGCAGTTTGACTGAACCATTAATATTGAGGGAGCAATATAATAGGGGTGTGAACCTACACTGGTCTCACGGTTCGGTTACAATTATCATGTCATCGATTCAGTTAAATTTGCAAATAAACAATGTAGCAAATAAACTAATCGAAAAAATTGTTCAGGTTTGTTTTTGAGTATTGTCGACCATGTTTTTACATCCTTATGATTGGTCATAATGTTCTCACAGAAAGTTGCCATTGGCTCTACAACTGTCAGTGCTGTTTACAGATGAGTGACGCGACATTAACGCATAAGCGGTAACAGTCGGTATGCACATAATAAAGCACACATTCCGCAGCTATCACAGCTGATCCATCGTAGACTTTGTGTAGAAAACTTGCTCTAGACACACTTATCAGATGTATAGCGATAGAGGCAAGGAAAAGTTATCTTACAAACCTGCCAGCAGTTCAAAGGTCCAAAGTGTGTGTGTGTGTGTGTGTGTTGTTTCTTCGGTGCACCGCGATGCAGACGCGGACAATTCGGTATTGGTTCAGTAGTAATCATAACCAGTTATTGTGTTACTGACGTCATTTATCTCATATGCGCTATGTCGCCGTAGCTTACTAGGCGAGCGAGGCGAGCGTGAGTATTTACAACTCTCCAACTACTTAGAAATGCAGAAACTGCACAATTTCACTGCAAGTGTGTTTGCTGGACAGTCTTTTACTGACAATTACAGCAGAAGCCCTTATTTCACTGCGATTGAGAGAATGGAAGTACTCCGTTTTTTTCTGTAATGTGTGTTCTCTCTCTCTCACTCACTGTGGGCCCATTTGACATGCTGGCGTGACTTTTCCTCCCCTCTCGGCTGCGATACTTCTGGATACAGACACTAGCGCGTGCCTGCAGAGTTTTCTCCAGTGTGTCGTGCCGCCTGCCACTTATGAGAATCACTCATCTGTGAAGAGCACAGCATGCAAGAGGCAATCGCAGCCGTTTTTGTTGAGGGTGTGACCAATCAAAGGGGTGTAAGAGAACTGGAGAAAGCTGGAAAGCATACTTCCATTGCAATGATCTGAGTGGGGATTGAAAAAAACCCGGGTCTACGGTGTGGTTAGCAATAGTTCTTACTACATGAGCTAAGTCAGCAACTGGTGGCCCAAGTTAGCCCACAACGTATGAATTCCAAAAAATAACAGTCTTTACTGAAGAGAATTTGACAAAAAAAGGAGAGACAATACCTCTCTACAGCCAGGGTTAAAAAAAGTACAACAAAAATAGGAAAGCCGAGCTTCCTAAAATACATACAAAATAAAATAGACACGAGGGTCTCAGAACAATCACATAGGAATCTAGCATGCAAAAAGTCTTGAATAACTTAACTGGACACTGAACAAGGCAGCAAGAGGTAGGGTTCAGGACTGAACACAGAGCAGGATACAAAGCAATCTTAAATATAGCAAAGAAAAGGTGGTAGTGATTAGGCTGATTACAGGGGAGTTTAGAGGAACAACAGTCACTACCGCCATCTAATGTTGAGGAGTATAGGGCAATATCTGCACCCCCTGGTGGGTTGGAGGACGTGATAAAGTGCTGAGATATTAAATCCATAGTAGGGAAAACAAATCAGGGCTCAAAATTGCGACCATTTTGGTCGTATTTGCGCCTGAAATTTTATTTATGCGACCTCAAAATATATTCGGTAACACTTGTGCGAGTGCTAAAAATTGTTGTGTGTGACCAGTTTTTACTGCAAAATGTTCACCACTTGCGCGGATTTGGGATACATTCACGCAGAATGCATCTCTAAGCTCTTTAGCCCCTTTCACACAGTGATACCGGTAAATATCTGGAAAATTTCCGGAACAACTTTACCGGTATATTCAAAAAAGCGCTGTTCACACAGGCGAGGACGTTATGGAAATTTTCCGGAAAAGAGCATTCACACATCCATTCCAAAATACCGGTAAATTCTGACATCATTCACCACAAATGAGCTTTAAACGGCTGCGCTTGTATTTGTAAACATTTGACTACATCACAAAATCTGTGGATGATCAGTATTGTGAACAACTTTCGCAGGATCACTTTCGCATGTCGAGATGTTCATAAAATGTGCGTGTGCAGGCGCTCACAGGCACACGCAAAGCTTGAAGGTAAACAAACAACGGCTTATCATAAGCATCTCATCGATGATTATTTACACAGTTGGCATAAAGAAGAACATATAAACGTGATCTGACTAACTTCTAGCAGCTAAATGTGTCTGGAAAAATATTCAAAGGTTTTTATTCTCACAAACCGCGCGGACGTAAATGCGTCTGACTGTTGTGATTGGCTAAAGCAGACGTCTCACGTCAGCACGTTCTAGACGTGCACGCGCTTATTACGGTAATCTTCCTTCTGCATTCACACAGCGCAGCATTCCGGCAAATTGCCGGTAATGTTACAACTTCTCTTTCCGGAAAATAGCCAGAACGAATTTACCGGTATTTTCAAAAAGGGCCTGTTCACACATACAACCTTTCTCTGTTGTATGTGTGAAAGGGGCTTTTGTCTGCACTTGGAATGCGAAACGCAGCGCTCAGGAATAGTTTAAAACAGTTGTCATGTCGACTTGAAGTAAAAGCCAAGTCCGTAATTCTTGCCCCGCCTTCGCGCTCTTCTTATTGGCCCGCCACTGCTCTAGCATTGAACGCGAATGATTGGTTAATATCAGCTGTCAATCACTCAGTCAGTGCCTTCTTGCTTGGGATGACAGAGAGAGTTACTACCGCGAAAAACTGTAAAGCGCTGAAGATGAGAATGAAGATAAAACTGACAGATTTAGTTTTAGAAACCATGGCATCTAAAGTTATAAATAATGACACATCTTACTAGTGATCATGTGCTAAATGTTAATCCACCATCTACACTTTTCCAAGAGTGGATAAGACTTTCATTGGCTTCAAGTCCGCTATGAAAAGTCTGTGGGATGGAATTTTCAGGTAACTCTGCCACATCTGGCACGAAAGCTTCTGTTTGATCCTTCATATAATCGGCAGATGCTGTCTGCCGTGCAAGGGGCAGCTATATGTAAAATTAAACACCGCTTACACCATCGCAAATGGGCTTACACTGAGTAAATTAAAATCGCTACTCCTAAAAAGACCGATTTGGCTATAAATTTGACGTATGCATATAATAAGGTACAGTATATGTCAAAAGCATCAGTGCAATATCAGACAGCACTTGTGAGAACAGCACAGTTATACCGTTAACAGATTCATTCAAGCAGTGCGTGCAGGGCCGGTGAGCAGTCCGTGTAACTTTTGGTCACTCAGTTATGTTATAAAAATCTATTTTCTTTGGATAACGGGATTTCGTTGAGACATATTTTCCTCACACTTGTGTGTGTGTATATATATATATATATATATATATATATATATATATATATATATATATGTATATGTATATATATATTTTTTTTTTTGCTTGTTAGTTAGATTAGTGTTGATTTCAAATGCAATAAATATGTTTGTATAAAACTTGTAGTAACGGTGCTTATAATTGGTGGGTGCGACAAAATTTTGGCTGATGTGCATAAGTTTTTAAAGTTAGGAGCATCGTTGCTACTAAGCAAAACGGTTAATTTCGAGCCCTGCAAATACTATGGAAGTCAATGGTTACATGCTTCCAGCTTTCTTCAAAATATCTTCAATAGAAGAAAGAAACTCCAGAAAGGTTTAAAACCACACAAGGCTGAGTGAATAGTTTTTAAATGTTCATTTTCTGGGGTGAACTGTCACTAAGACAAATGTTTGTCAACTAGACTCGAAACATGTTTTCTTTAAAAGCAACAGGAAAGGAAAATAAATTAATAATAATTGATCATCCATTTATGTCAATTTGCACTGTAACTCAAAAAGACAAGGCGAAGAGGGTTTTAATTAGCATTACTGTGGCCTCTTGAGGATGAACTTACATAAGCAGTGTGCAGGCGGTCTCATGATGGCTCGTCCTCAAGGTGTTGCTGCTTCACTTTGCCGTCTGAAGTCTTCAGGCGGAGATGCAGCCCTGTTTACTTTACATGTTCATTGCAAGCACAGTCTCAGGCTCTGCAGTGAAGTTCACCCCACAGGACAAAGATAAAATGCCACCATTGAGACTTGATCATATTTCTCTGTGACACTTTTTTGACTTGATATTTTGTTTTTGTTTCTTGTGTTTCAGCCTGCCCTACTAAAAGCTATTTTTAATGTGGATCCGGATGAAGTACGCTCCCTCATTTTCAAGAAAGAGGATGTGAATGTACAAGTAAGGTTTTCAGTTGTCTATTAATAAAATGTGGATTTCTGATGGACTCAGTGTTCATTTTGTGGATGAATAGTTTTCATTATATTATTCATTAACAGCATTTTATTTCCACTGACAGAAACTAAAGACATTTAAAAATGTCAAATGCATTGTTATTTTTGTCAACGAATAAAGGCTAAATGACACTAACAGCAGTGTAATCAACTTCAGTAATGTCTTCAGTACAGTAGAATTTATATTATATTACTATAATTTATGGAGATGCATATATTTGCTTGAAAGAATAAAGGACAATGTATATTGTATACATTCACTGGCCATTTTATTAGATACATCTGTCCAACTGCTCGTTGACACAAATTTCTAATCAGCCAAACACATGGCAGCAACTCAATGAATTTAAACATGTAGACATGGTCAAGACGATCTGCTGCAGTTCAAACCGAGCATCAGAATGGGGAAGCAAGATGATTTAAATGAATTTGAACGTGGCATGGTTGTTGGTGCCATATGGGCTGGTGAGTATTTCAGAAGCTACTGATCTACTGGGGTTTTTATGCACAACCATCTCTAGGGTTTACAGAGAATCGTCAAAAAAAGAGAAAATTCAGTGAGTGACAGTTGTGTGGGAGCAAATGACTTGTTGATGTCAGAGGAGAATGGCCAATCTGGTTGGAGCTGATAGAGAGGCAACAGTAACTCAAATAACCACTTTTACAACCGAGGTGTGCAGAAGAGCATCTCTGAATGCACAACACGTCCAACCTTGGACAATAGAACACTCTCACCAAAATTGGACAATAGAAGATTGGAAAAACATTGCTTGGTCTGATAAGTGTCGATTTTTGCTGCGACATTTGGATGGTAGGGTCAGAATTTGGCATCAACAACATAAAACCATTGAACCATCCTGTCTTGTATCAACGGTTCAGGCTGTTAGTGGTAGTGTAATGGTTTGGGGGATATTTTTGGCACACTATGGGCCCATTTGTATCAATTAAGCATCGTGTCATAGCAACGCCACAGCCTGCCTGAGTATTGTTGCTGACCACGTCCAGCCCTTTTATGACCACAGTGTACCCATCTTCTGTTGGCTACTTTGAACAGGATAAAGCGCCATGTCATAAAGAGCAAATCATCTCAGACTGGTTTCTTGATCATGACAATGAGTTCACTGTACTCAAATGGCCTCCAGAGTCACCAGAGCTCAATCCAATAGAGTACTTTTGGGACGTGGTTTAACGGGAGATTTGAATCATGAATGTGCAGCCTGCAAATGATGTGTGATGCTATCATGTCAATATGGACCAACATCTCTTAGGAATATTTTCAGTATTTTGTTGCATCTATGCCACAAAGGATTAGGCAGTTCTGAAGGCAAAAGGGGGTCCAACCCGGTACTAGTAAGGTGTACCTAATAAAATGGCCGGTGAGTGTAGCTGGTTTATTATAAAGAATGCAATATGAGGTCAATTTATTAGATTCAGGGTTAATATATTTAGGCCTAATGTTACACTATGACTGTTAATTCAAACCTTTAATATTATTCATGTTTATAATTTTGTTTTTCATGAGTATATAATAAGTTTAGAATTTTTTGAGATGTGCATAATTTAAATATTATGACTAAACTGGTTAGATTTTTAGTTGACTAAAATAGTATTCAATTTATTTGACTAAACCTAGGCAAACTGCAATGAATTGAGAAGACTAAAATCAAACAAAATAAATTACATTTTAATCCAATGAGACTAAAACTGAATTAAAGTTTGTTGTCAAAATAAACATCGATGGACTTGAATGTTAGTAAGAACTCTTTATTTAATTTTTTCTTCAGGACAATGAGAAAAGGACACCGCTGCATGCAGCTGCTTACCTTGGAGATGCTGAGATTATAGAGCTTTTAATTTTATCAGGTAAATAAATCTTGAATATTCATCATGTCTCCTCTCTTTGATTCCAGGTGTCTTTTACATGTGGCTTTGATGTATTGTTTTGCTGTTATTCATGAATTGCTTGTTCTGCTTGTGATGTAGGGGCGAGGGTGAATGCCAAAGACAACAAATGGCTAACTCCTCTGCACCGCGCCGTGGCGTCCTGCAGTGAGGTACTACAGTCATATCACAACCTGCACATGTGCATCTAGGGGATTTTTGCCCAAACTATGCTTCCCAATAAACAGGGTTGTCACAATATCAACATTTATGTGGTGTTGTTAGACAAAGTTCTAAACTAAAAAAAAGCTGTTTGGTAAAAACTAATATGCATTAAAACAATAATAAACAAGTGTAAAAAAGGAAAATAAATGAGAAAAAAAGGTTAAATAAAAACAACTGAGCAAAGATGTTAGTTAGTTAAACACTGTTTGATATTTGAAACTTCAAGTGCTATTAAATGTCAAAATATATATCCATCGACATTGAAAAAAAAACACATACAAAAGAGGTTTAGGCTTTATGCATTATTAATATTATTACTATTATTATTATTATTATTATCATCATTTAATTTATTTCTTTTTTTGCAATGAAATTTGGGGACCCCTGAAACCTGATTTTTTTTTTCTCTTTTTGTTATTATTATAATACTTTTAAATTCGCTTCGAAATTTAGGATCACTTAAATCAGTGTTATAAGTGTTATTACCAGTATTTTCCTTTGTTCACATTTTTTCTCTTTGATTTTCTTTCTAATGGTTAATTAAAATTTTAAACAGAAAGCTTCTTTAATTAATTCAATGAGATCATAAAACATAACATGGTATCAGTTTATTAAAAAAAGATTAACTAAATTTAGGGGCCAGAAATTTTAGGTTTTTTAATAAATTATTATTTTATTAATACATTATTTCCCCAAATAGTCTTTTCATTTTTTATTGTTTAAGATTCTATTATGGTTTAATAACATTTGAATAAATTGAGAAGAAACATGAAGTAAAAACAAAATTGTGTGATTGTCATACAGTTTTATTCAAAAGTTTGGCCACCTCATTGTAAGAGAAGATCCCAGTAAAAGGCTGTGCAAACGTTTTGGCATCCTTTCTTTTGTGTGGATCTCAAAACCTGTAATCACTTAATGCTGACTGATTGACACAAAATTGATTTGAGGGACTCAGCGAACCTTAACAATCTTATCAGCAGTGCTGATAGAATGCTCAAAAGAACTAGAATGCTCAAAAGAACATCCTAATGATCTAAAAATTAGGATATTTCACCAACATGGATTAGGACAGGGGTCACCAATCTCGGTCCTGGATGGCCGGTGTCCCTGCAGGGTTTAGCTTCAACTTGCTTGAATGTTTCAAGCATACCTAGTAAGACCTTGATTAGCTTGTTAAGGTGTGTTTGATTAGGGTTGGAGCTAAAATCTGCAGGACACCGGCCCTCCAGGAACAAGTTTAGTGACCACTGGATTAGGAGAAGGATGCCAAAAGCCATCACAAAGGTTTAAAGTCTCTATCTCCACAGTCAGAAATATAGTAAGAAAATGGAAGGCTTTAGGAACAGTCCTTGTGAAGGAAAGATGTGCTAGATCAAAAAATATATATATCTGAAAGACAAAGGTGAAGAATAGTTGGAATGGTCACAGACAAACCACAGACCAATTGCAAAGAGCTTCAGGAATATCTTGCTGTTAATAATGTCATTGTACATCGTTTACAATCTTCACAAAGAATAGCTCAATGAAAGGTGATGTAGAAAAAGCCTTTTCTGCTTTCTGCCAACAAAAAGAGTCATTTGAGTTATGCGAAGGCTCATCTCATCAGATGCCACAACCATAGGCGCTTTGCATGGTAGGAAAAGAATACAGCATTCCAGGAGAAGAACCTGCCCCCTACTGTAAAATATGGTGGAGGGTCCATCATTCTGTGGGGATGTGTGGCAAGCACAAGTACTGGAAATTTTGTTAAAGGTTGCTTGAAGTCCACCCAGTATAAGCAGATTTTTAAGAACAATGTTCAGGAATCAGTCAAGAGGCTAAAGTTATGGCAAGGTTGGATGTTTCAGCAGGACAATGACCCAAAGCACAGTTCCAGATCTACCAAGGAATTCATGCTCAGACATGTTCTTGAACGGCCATGCCATTCTTCAGACTTGAACATCATTGAAAATTTATGGATTGATGTTAAAAAGGGCTGTTCATGCTCTGCACCCATTAAACCTGATTGAACTGGAGAATATTTGCAAGAAAGAATGGTCCAAAATGCCTTCAGCAAGAATACAGGGACTTATCCTTGTCTGTAAAAAGCGTCTACATGCTGTTATTTTAGCAAAAGGTGGCTGTACAAAATATTGATGTCATTATTCTGTTAGGGTGCCCAAATTTTTGCATCGGTCTGTTTTTTAAGACTTAAATTGCAATGCATCTGTTGATTTAAATAAATGTTATGTCAGAAATGAAATGTAGCTTTTTCTTTAGGATATATTGCTAATTTGAATGAAAATTATCAGGGGTGGCCAAACTTTTGCATAAGACTGTATACACACACTTAATAAAGGAGATCATCGTCATCATCAAACCAGACAACCTGATCTTTAGCGCCTTCAGTTTTCATTGCGCATAAAAACAAGCATGAAATTATGTCTTTACAAACAATACTCAAATTATTGCTAAAAGGGAATCTACTCTTTATTGCAATTAAGTAATGGATTAATGGAGGCGTGTATGAGCTCCAAAATGTCATATTACACCTCATGTTATAATAAATGGTGTACTAAAAATCTGCACAATCCTGCCCGGGTGAGCTTATCTTCCTTCTTTTTTCATCCTTGATTGATTGCTGCATGATTTAGTCCTGATTAGGGTTGTAACAATATACCGGTATGACGGTCTACCACGATTTGAACGTGCACGATTATCATACCATGAACAATTGCATATCAACGGTTTTAACCCTTAAAGACCGAGACAGCCGCCCGCGGCTAAAAATAAGTATTGCTCTTAAATGTTTAATAACTTTTGATCCGCTGATCCGATTCATACAATTCAAAGATTGGCATAAAGAAGAGAATCTCAGCTTTCCAGTGCTGTATCACATAACATTCGCGGCTCCGGAGGCTCCGGAATCAGTGCGGTTACGTCATCAAAATTTGACAACGCTGATTTGACAAAGAAACGCTCGTCACTGTGTCTCCGGACAAACCAGACATGATACATTGATGCATTGTCCCTCCTCCATGCCCAGATTGGTTCAAACTCGCTATATCACAACCAATAAGCATAGGTTTCGCTTTTGTTTGTGGACCAAAAACGAGCTTTTTGAACAACACGGAATGAGAGATAGGCATACATTTATGCGCGGCTAAATAAAACGCAAAAAAAAAAAGTTTTGCATGAAATAATTCTCATACTAAGTACTTTTGCATGCACAGCAGCACAGAAACATGACAAAACAGTGACACAGCAAAGACGAACTGCTGCTCTTGCTGTTTTCAAAAGACACAAATGAAGGTGCAGCTGTTTGTTTACATTGCAGACAACCATATCCTAATCCATATCCACAGACAACCATATCCATGCTGGCACATAAAACCTAAGGATGTTCCATATTGAATCTAGTTTCGTTATGTAACTATTTATAGTATAGTAAATATTTATATCTATTTTTTTACTGAGGATTTGCACCATGTTTATTTGGACTTTATTTGGACTTTGACACATTATTTATTATTTTCTTATTTTTTATTTGTTCATTGTAAGTGGTGTTGTTTATAGTAACTGAAAATATATTATTTGGAAAAAGTCAAATTTGCTTCACTGTTCTATTATTTTGTAACATTTGTAACATACCGTATACCGCGAAACCGTCAAACCGTGGTACTGTTTTAAACGATTATCATACCGTAAAAAAATTCATACCGTTACAACCCTAGTCCTGATACATCGCGGTGCACAGTGAAACTCCTTTGAACTCACGCAGATCATATTAACAAACAGTCGATTAGACCTATGTTGACTGTATAGCCCTACCATGATGTTACCCAATGTTTAATAAATTCCATTTTTTTTATTGCATTCTATCTTTCTTATCATGGAAATCATAGTGCACTTTTTTATTACTTATGACGAAGTATGACAAAGTGTGACTAACAGAGGACAAAGTGAAAGCAGAGCTTGAGATTCTTGATGTTGTGTTTTGCAGGAGGCGGTGCAGGTTTTGTTGAAGCACTCTGCTGATGTGAATGCTCGAGATAAGAACTGGCAGACTCCTCTACATGTGGCGGCTGCTAACAAGGCGGTTCGCTGTGCTGAGGCGCTGGTGCCACTGCTCAGCAATGTTAATGTATCAGATCGTGCTGGACGCACAGCTCTGCACCACGCTGCCTTTAGCGGCCACCTGGAGGTCAGTCAACTGCATTTGCATATGTGGAGGTGTTGTAGAAAGAATGCTTTGAAATAGGGCTGGACAATATTGAAAAAAAGAAAATGCAAATTTGCAGTATTTTGTTTTTCAGCAGTTTATATTGCGGCAAGCGATTTCACGGTACAAGTGTCTTAAATTTACTGAAATATTGTGTTGTAGGTCTTGATTTTATTTTTTTTTTTAAACAGGTCTTAATTTTCCTTTGTTCGTGTATTGCTACCCAATCTGGCGAAAACTCATACAATCACCAACAATACACCTCACAATCCATTTTCCTTACAATAACATTTGTAAGGAAATTTGACACTGACCTGGACAGATTGTTGTGCATAGAATTAGTTTATAATAGTTTTTAGATTTTAAAACTTTTAAAACATTTGTTCATTTTTTTTTTATTATTTTAAAGAAAGTTTGTTGAAAAAAGTGTATAGATACAAGTAGAGCTTGATTGTTTTTACACAATAAGTTAAAATATTTTGCTAAGAAATAAAGACTAAAGTTTTATATATATATATATATATATATATATATATATATATATATATATATATATATATATATATATATATATATATATATATATATTATTATTATTATTATTATTATTATTATTATTATTATTATTAATAGTGTATTGTTGTATTTATTAAATGTATTAACTTAGATTTTTTTTTTTTGCCCTATCCAAAAATATAACTTTTCATCTGGGCTATTTGAAAAATGAAACGAAAAAGAAGAAACTGTAAGCATCTGTTTCTTTTTTGTAGTTTAATAATATTTTGATTGAACCACTGAAAAGAAAATGGTCTGTTTTGAGGATGTTTTTTGATACTTTTCTGGACTTTAGAGTCTGGACCCTTGCTGTCTATGGACAATAAAGGAGCTCTTGGTTTTAACTAAAGTATCTTAATTTGTGTTCTGAAGATGAACAAAGCTCTCAGAGGTCTGGAATCACATTAGGGTTACTAATTGATAAAAAGTTTCATTTTTAGGTGAACTAAACCTTTCAAAAAGTGTAGAAATGCTCAACTTTCTCTATTATAGTAACTTTGCAATTACTCCCCAAATCTGGAAATCGTTACCTGTTATTCCGAGTTCAGACTGCATGATTTTAGCCACAATAACTTTGCAATTACTTCCCAAATCTGGAAATCGTTACCTGTTATTCCGAGTTCAGACTGCATGATTTTAGCCACAATAACTTTGCAATTACTCCCCAAATCTGGAAATCGTTACCTGTTATTCCAAGATCAGAATGCATGATTTTAGCCACAATAACTTTGCAATAACTCCCCAAATCTGGAAATCGTTACCTGTTATTCCAAGTTTAGAATGCATGATTTTAGCCACAATAACTTTGCAATTACTTCCCAAATCTGGACATCGATACCTGTTATTCCAAGTTCAGACTGCAGGATTTTAGCCCCGATTTTGACTCGCTTACAGGTCTTGAGAAATCGCTGACAAATGCCTGAAATCAAAGGCAAATCGGTGCTTGTACAAGTAACAATCACACAGTGTGAACTATCAAAGACGTGAGATATTTGGCATACTAATTATATGGACTAGGGATGCTCAAAATAACCGATTAACCGTTAACGAAAGGGTGTTTTTTTAACAGATTAATGATATTAGTTAAACGATTAATGTTATTTTATATTTTTTTTCAAAGTTTGGCAGCATAAGAGGGCGATTACACCGAACACACTTTTTGTGATGAAAGGCGCATCTTTTGAATAGTTTACTTAAGGCTGTGAGTGTTTTGTACGCTGCTTATGCGTCTTCCGCTTATGTTTTTGCCATTGCAAGCTGTGTGCTCGCAGTTGAAATAAGCTAACCCCAAGCAGAAAAGCATGTTACATCAGTCGCATCTTTTTCATTCTTCAATCAAATATAAGCAGAGGCGAGGTTTCTGTTAATGCTGATTAGGGGTGTCAAAATTAATTGTTTCTTCGGTGCACCGCCATGTGGACAATTCGGTAAAACAAGTGGAAATTTTATAGGAGCCCCAGTGTCTGAGCAATACCACGAGAGAAATTGCTAAGTCCCTTCGAAACCCTGCTGAGCAAAATAAGTACATTTTCCACCCCACTAAAGGCTTTTTTCTTATGTAGTTTATAACAAAAGATACTATGTGACCTCATGTTGTTTCCATGTCACTTCTTGTGTGTTTTTCATCTTGATTCATCTTGCAGTGTAAACACAGCAGCAACAGAATGCTACCCCAGATAGTAATGCGGTGTGAAAACATCTGTGATACGACTACTTTAAAAAGCATTAAACTATGATCTTGATTTTGACATTTTACATTCTGTGATATAACTATTACACATGCTAAAACAATAATATTTACAGCCCTAATTCAAATTTCTTTTAGTCATTTATTTATTTCACACTCAATAAATGCATTGTTTTAAGTTCTACACATGTAAAGTATGCATACTTTTTGTTTGTTTTGTTGGAAGATGGTGAGGTTACTGCTATCCAGGGGAGCAAACATTAATGCGTTTGATAAGAAGGACCGAAGGGCGATCCATTGGGCGGCATACATGGGTGAGACAGAGAAATTATTGTTTGTTTGTTTTCCAGCCTCTTACGCAACCATATGTGGGATCTACAAATACAAAACCCTTTTAAATCTTGAACCTTTCAGGTCACATGGAGGTGGTGAAACTGCTGGTGTCTCATGGTGCTGAAGTGCCGTGCAAGGATAAGAAAGCTTACACACCTCTCCACGCTGCAGCCTCCAGCGGGATGATCAGTGTAGTGAAGTATCTGCTCGACATGGGAGTCGATGTGAGTGTTAAGCTTTCACAAAAATGTCTTCTCACTATGGATTATGTGGAGTTTATGTACTATAGCAACTTTTTAAGGGAATACTATTTAAGTTGCCGTTCGCACAGAATATGTTTTTCCTTTCCAACGTGCTACTTTACTATTATTTTTCAATGTGAACACACACTTGATGGACGTGTTGGATCATTATGTTTGCGCCATGCTCGTGAGGGTCATGTTTTTTAGATGCCATGCTAAATTAAAAGATCTTCAACTTTCACAAGCAAGGCAGCTCATCACTGTCAGCTCTAAAAGCAGTGGAATAATCAGAAGAGCTCAGAGGCAGGGCAATCATTGCCTTTTTTTATAATAGATAGATGACATGACAGGTGTTTTATTTACTGTTATGTCGAGGCGGATTAGGTGCTTATTGTGGCTTTGTCCAGGCTATTCTGAGTTATATAAAGTTTTTTCATGTGCTTATCATAACATGTAGCTTGTTTCCTATTTCGAATGGGCCCGTTATTGTCTTTAATACATGTACATAATATAAGCATATCAGGAAAAATAAGTATTGAACATTTTTCTCAGCATATTTCTATAGGTGCTGTTGACCTGGAATTTTTACAGATGTTGATAGCTACCAAAGAAAACATTCATTCTGCTTCAGTCTAACATCTGCATTAGCAGGATGATGATGATAAAACCAGAGTGGACATTTCAGCAAGACAATGATCCAAAACACAGCAAAGGAAACTCTCAAATGCTTACAGAGAAAGAAAATCAAGCTGTAGAATGGCCCAACCAATCAACTGACTTGAGTCCAATAGAAAATACAAAATAAAGATCAGATTTGATAGACGAGATCAAGATTTTTACACTCTGTTGAGGTCTGTGAAAAAAAAAATCACACCTAGGCAATGCATGTGACTTCATTCTCTACATTAGAGGCGTCTTTAAGCTGCCATCACTAAAAAAAGCTTTTTGTATAAAGTATTAAATACGTTTCAATAGTGGAGTACTTTCTCCTTGTTTTTTCATTGTTATTACATATAACTAATTATTCAGATTGTTTTTGCTTTGTTTCATTTTTATGTTGGGTTTTTACTAAAATCTAGCTCAATTCCATGTTAACAGCTAGAAATAGTATTCCTTGGAAAAAACATGACATGTTCAATACTTATTTTCCCCACTGTATATGTAAAGCGTTTTTAGAAATAAAGACTCATTTGGTGAGAATGAACCCTATGCTGTGTTCATACCAGTCGCAGAACGCGTGGGAAAAAAAAATTCTTATTAGGGCGATGACATAAATATGATGACAGACATTCTCAGATTAATTTTAATATCTCAATAAACACTTTGGTAAATATGATGTCACTGTATGTGGTCTTACATGAGAACGATCAGAATGATACTGTTAAATGCTAACTTATGACTACAGCATGGATACATGCCCAGTAATTTATGATATAAAGTAACAGGTGTTGGTAAATGTGTTCTTATACTGAACGATTATATATTTATTTGTCAGGGCTGCAAAACGAAACAAAAAATCCACTCCATTATAAATCCAATTTTTTTTATAAATCTGATGTTTACATTTAGTCAGAAATAATGAGCATTATTTTTGTATATAATTGATCTGAGAAGGTTTGAGTGCTCTCATCCATTTCATTGTGCTGTTTTTCCTTCATCCTTTTTAAATCACACAAAAAAAAAAATAAAAAAAAATGGGTTGTTTTTCCAAAATTGTTTTTATATTTACTTAAATGAGTTTGAACAAAGCCAATACATGTTGCATACATTAAATGCAAACTAATGGACCAGTTTCGTTTTAAGTCCAAGAATTACTGCATAGATCTATTCTGATCAATTTTTATTTTATTATTTCACTTATTGACATGTTTAGGACTACTCATTAATTAATAAAACATTAAAGCCATGAAGTTTCAGGAAAAGTGTTGTAATATCTAAGCTGCATTCTTTTGTTACACAATAATACTTAATATAAACTTCTAAATTCATTGCTCTGCGTCATTTCAAATGAAGCATTCAATTTTTCTAATGACGTCTGCATGTGTTTTGTTTGCACGACTGCTAAAATTATGACCGTACCCATTTTGTCAGTGTGTAATTTTGATTTCAATTTAGCAGATCAAAAGTGGCAGTCATTTGATTGACAAGGACATAATTAAACTCACAATGTGCTTTGCTTTCACTCACACATTTGCGTACTGAGGGCGATTTAGCCAGAATAGCTTTCAGATGGCACCATGCTAACCTTTTCATCCAGAGCACCACTTTAGAAGGAACCTTTTGGGCATTTAAATAAACATGCATTTTGTGTTTGGTCAATACATATTCATGGTTATATAAGCTCTTTTTCAGTTGTATTAAATGTAGATCTCTAATTAAACCATTCTGCAAGCAAATGTGAATGTTTTATAGTTAAACATTTGAACTGTGCACGTGCTTTCAGATGAATGAGCCAAACGCGTATGGAAACACACCGCTGCACGTGGCTTGCTACAATGGTCAGGATGTGGTGGTGAACGAGTTGATCGAGTGTGGCGCCAATGTGAACCAGGTTAATGAGAAGGGCTTCGCACCCCTGCACTTCACCGCCGCCTCACGACATGGAGCACTTTGCCTTGAGCTGCTTGTGGGCAATGGTGCAGATGTCAATATCAAGGTAAGGTGGCACATGCAGATCTGAATTGACATTTATACTTAACTTGTTTTAGGTTAACTATGCCTTTAAGATGACATGACGCCGAAGCCATTAAATACTACATCCGACTAAATCAATATGCAGTATCGTTTTTGTAAAAAGACAAGATTAAAATGTAGTTAAAATAGAAAAATAGAATCCCAAATCCAACTGAAAATAACAAGCATTCATGTTTTTTGTCCTGACTTTGATTTTTAGTGTCTAATAAATAGGGTTGGATACCGAAACCTACCTTTGAAACCAGTATGCACCTGACCGAATTAGCATATGAATTTCGGTGCCTAATTCCGGTGCCACTGGCATTTTAGAATTTGCAAGTCAGAGGCTGTCCGCAGCGCCCAGCCACGACTCATGACTGTTTAGTTTTCTGTCGCGCCAAAGACCACCATCTGAATAGTTTCATTTTAAATATTATGCAAATGTGCGCGTCTGATGTGTGATACTATCAACTGTCATGTGCGCGCCATGCCGTGGCTCTGAGCAGCGCATCCGATGTGTGACGCCCTTAAGAAGCTTAAAGGAGTGCATCAAAGGCACACATTAGTACTTAAAGTGGAATCAACCTAAAGGTGAGGAATGGACTGTCTTTGATAGCTTGTGACATTATCTGGCACTTCCAGTGAGTACATTTACATGGACACCAATACTCTGATTTTAATATGATTAAGACAATACTCTGATCAAGAGTCCACTATTTAAACTGAGATTTTTGATTATCTTAAAGGACCACAGACACAACTGCGGAGGAAACATTTATAGGCAGGTGACACAATGACGTTACTGATCTATGTGCTATAACATGTGTCTGGGAATCATGAATTCAACTTTCAAAAAACAAATCATTAGATCACTGATGTCCATGTAAAAGTAGTCACAAGCCCCAAACCCAGAAAAAAAGGTGTTCCCTGATTTTAATGACAGCCTTTCCACAGGTTAGTAGTGACCTAATGTAATGTTAATAGTATAATGCAAAACTTGCATCCATGCTAACAAACAAATGATCAAAAGAAATATATTAATGCGATATTTATATATATATTTATAATACATTGTATTTGAACAATAAAAGTGTATGTGTGTGTGTGTGTGTGTGTATATGTGCGTGTGTGTGTGTGTGTGTGTATATGTATATATGCATGTATGTATATATATATATATATATATATATATATATATATATATATATATATATATATATATATATGTATATATATATATATATATATATGTATGTATGTATGTATGTATGTATGTATGTATGTATGTATGTATGTATGTATGTATGTATGTATGTATGTATGTATGTATGTATATATATATATATATATATATATATATATGTGTATATATATATATATATATATATATATATATATATATATATATATATATATACACATATATATATATACACACACACACGTTACATGGGTTTGAATTGAGATCATGATCTTTAATGTTTGTGTGCAGCTTTACACTGAATGCATTAATGCAGACTAAACAAACAGTAACAGAAAACACCTTAAATTTTTACCCTAAGAAAGGATTTAGGTAGGTCCCACCACAACTACTTTGGCTGCAGTACACCCAGTCGCCACCAGGCGATTCCCGCAATGGCGGTTTAATGGCGTCAAAAACACTGACAGATGAACCATTACAATGGTGAAAATCTCAGAGCTATTGATTCTTCTGTTCAAGCTGAGAAAGTCTTGCTGAACTCATTAGGGAAATTAAAACTACTTTTTAATTTGATAGCCAAATAACTAATGTTCTCCACTGCTGGAGACATAAGTGCTCAGAGGAGTCTGTCCTCACCTCTATGAGCATTCTGATCAGTTACTCTCCTTGAAATAATATTAATCTAGTGGCAATGCATGATTTATAAAATAAACCAGGGCTAAGCATAAAATACATAAAATAAGTTTGCTTAGTTAAATAAGTGTTCTAAGCAACCTAGAAAGCACTAAATTGCTATTTTGAAAGTGTTTTCCTAAATGTATATTCTACTAAATTGAGATTCTGCTGCTCTGACTAATTTAGAGATGTACCTATTTAATCACAAAATGCTCTCTGCACATCAGCACATTTTAAGCTTGTTTGACAGCCGTGTGCTTGTTTTACATTGCTCCAATTACTATAAAACATGTGCTGTTAATAAAAGAAATGCACCTAATAACTATTTTGATACATTAAGGCCTATTACGATATCCATTTTTTGTTGAACGATATATATTGCACTAAAATATTTAGCGATTAAATGATATTATTGTCATTTTAAGACTATTTTATGCCACTCATATAACGCCAAAATGACAATATTACATCATTATAATGCAAGGTCACTCTTCCAAAGTACACATTTTATTCTTAAGAATATTTCATTTAACTATAGTAATAATGTAATAATTAGACATTGGAGTCAGAATGTCAAAATGTATGTTCTTAATAAATAATAATAAATGTTAACAAAAAATTGCAAGGTAAAATGTAACAGAGCCTGCGGTATCTTTTTTACTATAGTAAAATTTACTATAGTAATTTATTGTAGATCCTATAGTGTTTTTTTTTTTTTTCTTTTTTTAAACCATACTGACACTGTCCCTACTATTAGTATATTGCTTCACCAAAAATGATTGAGGTAATTTCCATGTCTTGTGTGATAATTCGATAAATTGATTATTGTAGCAAGGAAATCAGTGTTCATTTGAATTATTTAGCCGGCCATGTTTACTGTTCCAAAATATTATAAATCTTTCAAAAAATAAAATATATGCTTTTTAAAGGGGAAAATGTTTTATTTTTAACCCAGACATTTAAAAAGAATATATTTTAGAGCAGTAATCACAATACCGTTAAACCATAATATTTTTATCCAAGGTTATCATACCATCATAATCTTATACCGGCCCATGCCTAGTGTGGACATATCATGGTCAGAAGTAGCTTTATAGAAAATAATAGATAGAACAGATGTAAAAAAGTAAGAAAAATGACTAACAATGCAATTTGGAAAAATTGCAAATGATGGAAGAATAATTGTGGTTCAACTTGCACATTGAAAAAGTTTGGAATGCATATTTGATACATAAGAAATTAAAATGCATTTTCCTTTGCTGGTTGTAAACGGACATTTGCAATCGGTTCATGTGATCGGCCAGATTAGCGAGTACCAATTGAGTTCTAAAATGTGATTATCGGCCGATGCCGATCCGTCAGACCATCCCTAGTATTTATCTCACTAATTGAACACTATTTTCTCTTCATCCAGAGTAAGGATGGTAAAACTCCCCTACATATGACTGCAATCCACGGGAGGTTCTCAAGATCTCAGGCCATTATTCAAAACGGTAAGTCTTCAGTTTTACAGTGTACATTTATCAATGTGCAAGTGTGCAGTATCTGACTACATCTTGCTTGGCTGTGTGCTATATGTGTAGGTGCTGAGATAGACTGTGAAGATAAGAATGGGAACACTCCTCTGCACATCGCAGCCCGATACGGACATGAGCTTCTCATCAACACACTGATCACAAATGGAGCTGATACGGCCAAGTATGAATTTACATTGCTCTCTGCTTGATAACTACTTAACTTGGTAGCTTTGTTTAATTCAACATTTACTAACTGTAGACAGGCGGGTGTAGAATAAATTCACTATTTAACCCTTTTTGAAAATCTAAGAATGTTGTAATTGATGATGCATTAGGGCTGCATGATATTGGAAAAAAACTGACAGTGCTATATTTAGTTTTACTGCTAAATGTTGTAGCGATCTGACTGGGTAGGGGTGCCAACTCATATATTTATAAGTAAAAAATAAAAAATAATATTTATAAAGTCAGTGCTACATGGGATACAGAAGCAGTGCAATAACCCTAGTAACCCCTTATAGAGCTAAAGACAAAATAAATCAGACTAAACCAGTTTAAATTGCATTCTACTAATATTCAATTAGGTCTCCTTACAACCTCAAAATAACACTATATACATGTTTTACAACAGAAAAAATTTCAAACCCATTTCAACAAGCATTTGAATAATTCAACAAATCAAATGCACAAAACAAAATAATAATAATAATAAACCAAATAAAGAGGTACCTCTGTCGACTTGAAATTAACTTGATCCATGCACAAGATTAAACCACTGATTCACATCAATTTGTTAGAACCTTACATTCATTACTGTTATACAGAAATTCAATATAAACAATTCAAACAGTTCAATGATTCAGTCGGTTCAACATTTCAATGATTCACTCGGGTCAAACAATTCAACGATTCACTTGGTTTAAACAATTCAATGATTCATTCAGTTATAGTAATCAAGATGCTCAGTTTGTTTAAACAGTTCAATGATTCATTCAGTTCTAACTAAGATGCTCAGAGTTCGTCAAACAGTTTAATGATTCACTCGGATTCAATAACTCAGATGCTCACAGTTCGTTTAAACCGCTCAATGATTCATTCAATTCTAACTGAGATGCTCAGAGTTCGTCAAACAGTTCAATGATTCACTCGGTTTCAATAACTCAGATGCTCACATTTCGTTTAAATCGCTCAATGATTCATTCAGTTCTAACCGAGATGCTCACAGTTCATCAAACAGTTCAATAATTCGCTCTGTTTCAGTAACTCAGATGCTCACAGTTCGTCAAACGGTTCAATGATTCACTCGGTTTCTTTAACTCAGATGCTCACAGTTCGTTCAAAAAATTCAACGATTCATTCGGTTCTCGTAACTCAGATGCTCACAGTTCGTTCAAACAGTTTGATGTTTCACTCGAGAGTACGCTTTTGCTCATTCCCTCATAAACCATACATGAAGAGAAATAGTTAAGTTGCCGTAGTGCCGTAGACGTACTGCATCGTCGTCTGTTTTAGTCACAAATTAAAGTTAGATCAGCTCACCAGTCCGAAGGTTACAGGAGTTAACCAAACAAACACATTGTCTCTCAGCCAGACGATTCCTTTCAGCCTGAGCCATCATTGCCTGAGCTTCTAGCCGAAGCTCCGCATACTCTCTTCTTGGTGAACAAACACTTCCTTCTTTTATCCATTTCCCATGATAGAGAGGGGTTTTTTAAAATACATCACGTCCTATGTGGACATTAAGTGACCGCTTTCAGCTCGCCACAATGTGTTGCGATTAATTTTTCAAATATAATTTCACAAGTTGACTCTATTTGGAAAGAATTTATAGGGGAATTACCAACCTACGTCACACGGATTCTACCCCATATACCGGTTGCAAAAAAAGACTGGTTGCTATAACAAACATGTCGTGTTGTGCAGTAGGATGCCAAAATTGAAAGTCCAAAAATAGAAAACTTAAATTTTACCGTACACCACACTGCTTTTAATGCCAACCGCAGTCGTCTTTGGCTAACAGCCATCATAAGACCTAATTAAAAATGCTCGACTTTGCAGTTCTTATTTTATATCAGGTAAGTTTACGCTATGCTGAATCATACACCTATCTCGTTTTTGATTGCAGCAATGATTTCAGCAAAAACATTAAAATATTGTTAATTAAACTGCGGACACAGAATGCTTAGAATGAAATGTAAAAATGTAGGTTCACATACCCTGCTGTACAGGTGCAGTTTTATGTCAGAATGCAGTTGTTTTCTTGTTGATGATTACCCAGGCCTTGTACAGTTCCATCTTCTTTCCTTGTCTTTGGCTAGGCAGAACCTCGGTTTTTAGCACTACAAAGTTTTGAATCTTGGAGTCATGGAACATTATTTCTTGCACATAACCACATAGAACAAAATTGTAGGCATAAAAGACTTGTAGACCTTTAACATTTCTCTTGTAAAAACACTTGGAGTTTCAATAAGAGAGTTGTATATTTCGGGCTGGATGCTTGGCCATTTCGTCTTATCCAATATCCATTGGCAGGGTGCTATCTCAAATGGACCTGTCAGACGAACACAGCTCACTTTAATGTTAATCTTGCCAAGTAACTGCTTATCACTAGGTGACAAGCTGTAATAAAATGCTGAAAGTATTATGTAAATAACAAAATTATGTAATCATTATAACTTATCTCTAATACAATAACTCTGTACCACATCGGATGTCATTTTTTCGCTGTAAATGCTAGCGCTTCCGGCTTTTTTCTGCAAACTCAATATGCACATGAAACACCAATCAATAGCTCGAAACAAAAAACAGCTGCCTCCCAATAGCATTTTTGGATAAAAATGTCCAATTCCTGGCTGGGACATTGGTGCTTTTTTAGTTGTAACTGATCATATGCAGACATGTAGACCTGTAAATTTATATGTAACACTTGCTTTTTTTTTTCTTAGGAGAGGAGTTCATGGCATGTTTCCACTGCATTTGGCTGCTCTCAGCGGCTTCTCGGACTGCTGCCGTAAGCTGCTGTCTTCTGGTAAGCTGCATCACTGCTAATAGTCATTACATTTTTCGTGTACGGATTACATCTAATATTGCTGTATGGTTGTCTGCTTCATTTCTCTAAAACAGTAAACTGAGCATGTTTCTGTCCTCCAGGCTTTGATATAGACACCCCTGATGACTTTGGAAGGACCTGTTTACATGCTGCTGCTGCCGGCGGGTAAGGTTCTTTTTAATTTGATTGTTTTATTTATATATATATATATATATATATATATATATATATATATATATATATATATATATATATATATATATATATATATATATATATAATAAAATTATATAGCCCCCTATAGGCCAATTATTAGCCCCCCAGAATTTTTTGGCTCCTTGTATGTTTTTTCCCCAATTTCTGTTTAACGGAGGGAAGATTTTTTCAACACATTTCTAAACATAATAGTTTTATTAACTCATTTCTAATAACTGATTTATTTTTTCTTTGCCATGATGACAGTAAATAATATTTTACTAGATATTTTTCAAGACACTTCTATACAGCTTAAATTGACATTTAAAGGCCTAAGTAGGTTAACTAGGCAGGTTAGAGTAATTTGGCAAGTTATTGTATAACGATGGTTTGTTCTGTAGACTAGCGAAAAAATAAATAGCTTAAAAGGGCTAGTACTTTGACCCTAAAATGGTTTTTAAAAAATTAAAGACTTTTTGCAGAAATCTTGCTTCTTGCTGAAATAAAACAAATAAGGATTTCTCCAGAAGACAAAATATTATCAGACATACTTTGAAAATTTCCTGAATCTGTTAAACATCATATGGGAAATATTTAAAAAGAAAAAAAGTCAAAAGGGGGCTTATAATTCTGACTTCAACTGTGTGCGTGCGTGCGTGCATGTGTGTGTTTTGTGTGTGTGAGAGAACTTTAACAGCTTACCAAAAACCTGTTTCCTTACAGGAACCTTGAATGTTTGAATCTTCTCCTCAACACGGGGGCAGATTTCAACAGGAAGGACAGCTTTGGAAGGTTTGTTTACTAGTACATTACTATAGCCAAACATTATTCTAACAACCTAGTGATATTTTTTACAAGGCAAACATTAACAATCTGTTCTGCAGGACACCTTTGCACTACGCAGCTGCAAACTGCAACTACCAGTGCCTGTTTGCTTTGGTGGGCTCAGGAGCCAACGTCAATGAGCTTGACAAGAGGGGCTGCACCCCCCTCCATTATGCCGCTGCTTCTGACGCCGATGGAAAGTAAGTTACCATGTTGCAAACAAGTGGAAATGGTGACATTCTAAGAAATGTATTTACTAAAGTGTTTAAGAAGTCAATTCTAGATTTTTTTTAAATTCTTCACTATTTTCCTTTATGAGTCGATTGAATCAACAGCTGATGGCACTGTAAAACTGTTAAACTAGCCTAAAGCACCACCTACTCTTAGGGCGCACTATGCTAATTGTACCTTGCCCAGGCACGTTTCCCGGATCATTCATTTGAGAAGTGTGAGTGTTCTAAATCTGGCTCAGGCACGGTGCAGTTAGCCGGCCCTGCCCTGGCTGGAAGAGTTGTACCAGAAAGCTGTTCACTTGGGCTGTGGCGCGGTACAATTTTAGTGTAATTGCAAATCGCCCCTGAGCCTGAAACTGATCACGAAATGTAACTTTTAAGGGACTGTTTCCTATGGATTGATTAATCATTACAAGCGTGCTTCGGCACGGTTCAAAAGCAACTGTACATAGTGTGAGTATACCCTTAAAAACCAAGCCCAAAATCCATTCAAGAGAACATAATGAGTCTCTCATTTTGAAAATCTCAGATTTAATTTCACAGACATGTCTTTCTAGTAGTTACCAGTCTTTCTCTTTCCCTAACTAGGTGCCTGGAATATTTGCTGAGGAATGATGCTAACCCAGGGATCCGAGACAATCAGGGCTACAATGCAGTGCATTACGCCTCTGCGTATGGACACCGTCTGTGTCTGGAGTTGGTAAGTTACTGGTGAACTTAAAACCACATAATTCGGTAATTCACATAATTTGTAAATATTTTCAGCTGATTGTTTCTTTTCTCTTCATTAGATTGCGAGTGAAACTCCGTTAGATGTGGTAAGAACTGTAATGCTTAACATAAAACTTCCTGATATATCATGGCCTTTAAGATGTTTAAGTTCTTCATTTAGGCCACAGGAGTCAAAGCCAATTTCTGGAGGGCCGCAACCCTGCACAGTTTAGTTCTAACCCTGCTTCAACACACTTACCTGTAAGTTTCAAACAAGCCTGAAGGACTCAATTAGTTTGATCAAGTGTGTTTAATTAGGGTTGGAACTAAACTGTGCAGAGCTGCGGCCCTCCAGGAACTGGCTTTGACACCTGTGATTTTAGGGGGACCAAAAGAAGTTAAGCACTTTGTAAGGCAAGCAGCTGTGCGATATTATCCCTTTATCGCATATAATCACACTGGTGTGATCAGACAAGCGTGTGTATGATCACACTAGTATGACTAGAAAGTGGAATGCAAGAGAAGATGAGCAAATTGCTTCTAATTAATAACAAGTGTTACCAGTGTTTTGTAAAAAAAAAAACAAAAAAAAACATTTATTTTAATTTTCAGACATGTACATACACATAAATACTAGAAAAACCACAACTATCTATGGTTTGTAATATATACACCGATGTCTAGGGAAGTAATTATTTTTAAACCTAATCAGACAACGTGCTTTATTCACATCAGATACATACTTTATTACTCTATTCTTCTCCTAGTTAAACAGCCAATTATGTATTTCGGGAGAAGTTGATGAATTAACATGTTGTAATTCCAGCAGCTCTAATCTCATCACTGCAGCGTAGACCAACATGGTGAGGCCCATCACCGAATACATGTCTTGGACAGATTTGACCATCAGAATATCAGATATTTCACTATAATATTAGCGTTTTTGTCAATATTTGCTGAAAAGGTTAAAAGTAACAATATCAGTAAAACAAAAATCATTAGGGCAGCATAAATACAGGGTCCATTTCACTTTGTTACAATTCTAACTTCAGTTTTTGCTATAAATCAAAAATCACCTTAGGCCAGTTGTGGTTCAGAAGTTTTTGCCAGTTGGAAAAATGTTAGAAAAGCTTAATTTTGGCAAACTGTTTAAAACTTTCAAAACTAACTATGGCTGTGTCTCATTTCAAAGGGTGCATCATTCGAAGAATACATTTGACTTTGTGGTGCGACAAAGACAGTTTCATTTAAAAAAATTTCTAAAAGTCTTCTTCAAATGTAGCCTCAAAATCCGCCCTTCAATTCCTAGATAATGAGGCATATAACTGGTGGATCCTTCGCAGCCTCAAACATCGAACAAGATTTATTGCGTGCTGATAACAGCAGGGCATTTTTAAAAGAAAACTCTTGATTATAGTTTTGAGTGTTTGAATTTTTTCATTTACTTGGATATCTAAACACTTGTTAAAAACAAAAAGAGTATGACTTGTCTTGCTGAATAGTTTTATGTGCTTGAATTGTTTTTTAATTTACTTGGAAATCTAAACAGATGTTAAAAACAAAGATTATAACATTGCTGAAAAGTGATGTGATAGACTGTTTTTTTTTTTTTTTTTTTTTTGTAAATGTATGGGTCAAAGAAAATATATATTACCAGTTTTTTAAACCTTGTTTTGCCTTCAGATCACTTAATATGAGTTTTAAAATCACTTTGAGAAAGTCATTCTAAATTTTATTACAGCTTATTAATGGCAAGGTGCTAGGTGATGAGGTCTGTGATCTGTAAGCTAGATCGTCTCAATTCAAAACTCAGTTCGGTCTGTGTAAATTTCAAAACACTGCCTCTGAGATGCGACACAATTATGATTTAATATTTAGTTTTTGCTTAAAATGATGTCACTCTAGATTGAGTGATCAGACCCATTTAGTTCTGTTGTGTTTTGTCTTCAAGTTAATGGAAACCTCAGGGACAGACATCCTAAATGACTCTGATGTACTTGCTCCTGTGAGCCCTCTACATCTGGCTGTGAGTACACTCTCCATCTGTTTGCTCAACATGTTATAGGGAAAAAAAGAACTTTGTGTGAATCTCCTGCATTTGATTGCTGTGGTTGATTTGAGCTTTTGTTTGCAGGCATATCATGGACATCACCAGGCTCTCGAGGTACTGGTTCAGTCTCTGCTGGATCTGGATGTGAGAACTGCACAAGGACACACACCGCTGGATCTGGCCGCCTTCAAAGGTCACGTTGAATGTGTGGATGTGCTCATCAATCAAGGGGCCTCCATCCTAGTGAAGGACTATACGCTCAAACGCACCCCTATCCATGCTGCCGGTACATTATATCTGTTGGATATCTAAATCTGAATTTTTTTTTTTTTTTATGATGTTGAAAGAGCATGTTTCTGAATAATAGGAAGTCATGGAAGGAAGTTGATATGAGTGTTTTAGAAGTATGTTTTTATGATTACTCAGCACAAAAATAATAATGGAAATATACACTGTAAAAAATGCTGGGTTCCACACAGTTTCTTCATGTTGTCCCGCCACAAATCAATTAAGTTAACGGAATCGTTTTAACAAATTTAAGTGTATTGAACCTCAAAGAATTAAGTTTAATATTTGAATAATATTCAACTCGCATGGTTTCCGCTAAATTTATTCTTCGATGGTGGGGCGCAACACCAAAATACATCCCACCATGGCTACATTCCAGCTTCTCATTCAAAACATTCAGTCGTTGTTGTTGTTGTTGTTGTTTTTAATAGCGGGTTATAATTGCACCCAAACGTTTTAAAAGGTAAGTGAATTATAACAGCCTGAACCTTTCTGTAAACATAGTAGTCCTGTGCATCATTTGTTTAATCCTTTGAGAGCGCACGAGAAGATCTGCGCTTGAGCAGCGTATTTAAAGGGTGTGCAAGAGGTTTTGTGCACGAGCAGAGGAAATCGGTGCGCAAGCAAAAAGATTTCCATGCTCATATTACTTAAATGCGATCTCGACTTGTAAAACTGCTCTTGACATTTCTCCATTTGTCATTGAAGTAACGCCATAGGTAGTTGATAGATTTGTGTAAAGGTTCTGCCGCCACAGCTGGAGAAATGCTAGAGGAAACACTGACTCTTATTGTATATACACTAAATCTTTCTTAATATTTTTTTTATTTTCTGTTTACACATTTTATACTTTACGTGTTGTCTGTATCAGTTTAAGTTTTTGGAAATAAATTGTGCAAACGCACTGGGGGAAAATATTTTAAGATTCTTCACAAATAGCTGAGCCTAATCAGCCAAGCAGTTAATTGTGTATGAATAATTACGTTTAGGAACATTGACACTAATGACCCTCATATAAACATTGTAAAGACATTTTTTTTTCCTCTCCCTATTAGCCACAAATGGTCATTCTGAATGTCTCCGTTTGCTCATTGGAAATGCTGATCTGCAGAGTGCAGTGGACATCCAGGATGGGATTGGCCAGTAAGTACATAACCAAAAAAAAAACAATTATAATTTTTTAAGTTTTTGGGAGTCTTATTGTTATATGTGATTGTCAGGACTCCTCTGATGCTGTCAGTGCTCGGCGGACACACAGACTGCGTTTATTCTCTTATTAATAAAGGAGCCAATGTTGATGCCAAAGACAAGTGGGGCCGCACTGCTCTACACAGAGGGGTAAACCATGACTTTCACACTACCAAGGGCACTTTCTTAAACTAAAACTATTGGTCAAAAAAACATTTTTCTCAACATATGAAAAACGATTACTGAACATAATATTTGGTAAAACTAAATAACAAAATTTATTAGAATTGATTTGGTGGAAAATATGACTTGCAGACAAACACATCATTTAGTAGGTTATTTATTGAGCAATTTCTTGATGTACGAGCAGGGACAGCAGTTGGAAAATTTTGGCTCAAGACTTTGACTTATTCACTTCCATGGATTTGTAGACGTTAAAAAGCAGCTCATAATGCTGTTTGATGTTGTAAACTGACTTACTCAAATTAAGTTATTATTCAAATTTTATATATAATCATAAACACACGTTTTTGTAGAGCAAGTAGTTTGACTGTTTTCTTATTATTCTGATTTAGTTGCCTAAAGTAAAAAATAATAGGAAATTCTTAAACGATTACAAAAAAAGAGCACACCGGCATTGTAGAATAAGATAGCTACTGAAATCGTATTACATATTACACATATAAGTAAGGGACAGGTTAGGAGAAGACTACAAAAACCAGGGATCAACCCATGCTGATTAGGGTTGCATATCGTTATTTATTTATTTATTTATTTATTTGATACCGGTGCTAAATCGATACTTTTAAAACGATACCAGTGCCAAAACTGTGCCTGAACTGATTCTTTTTAGCCAAATATATATATATATATATTTATATATATATATATATATATATATATATATATATATATATATATATATATATATATATATATAATTTTTTATCATTATAATTGAATAATATAAATACATATTTATAATAGGTTTAAAGTAAACATCAATTCATATTTTATGTATTTGGATTGCATTAATATATTTCTTTTGATCATTTGTTTGTTAGCATGGATGCAAGATTTGCATTATGCTATTAACATTACATTGGCTTACTACTAACTTGTGGAAAGGCTGTCATCAGAATCAGGGAAAACCTTTTTTCTTGGTTTGGGGCTTGTGACTACTTTTACATGGACATAAGTAATCTAATGATTTACAGCCTCTGACTTGCGAATTCTAAAATGCATAGTGCTGCGCATCGCTGAGCGGCGCTTCTGATGTGCGACCTGTTTTACGTTCTTGTCGCAGCACCGGAATTAGGCACTAAAATTTATATGCTGATTCGGTCTGGTGCATACCGGTTCCAAAGGTACCGGTGTCATAATGACACTGGGTTTCGGTACCCAACCCTAATCCCGATACTTGGATCGGTAATTGGTTCGATACCGTAAATTTTAAATGGATCAGGTATCAACCAGCTGGTACAGATTCAATCTTGCACAGATACAATCTTGGTACAGATTTAAAATCCAATCTTGCACGTGCTTTATATTCTGTGTAATTTATAAGCCAAAAAAGCCACAAAGGTAGCCTATTATAAGGCACTTGAAAGTTGTCAAGTAGGCCTACTATATCCCAAATGTTGTGAAGCCAATGTAATGTAAAGCACAGATGAATATTGTGCTTAAATTTATATTCAGTTCAGCGCTTCTCTCCACAACATTTCAAAGGCTGGAAAAGTTATTTGAAATGTCATTTAATTTCAGGCTATATGATAAATTGATAAATTAAGTAATTACTTCTAAGGGATATGATGATTTTCTATAGGCACTGTGTTTATAACTAAGGTTTGCACAAGGGGGAATGTAAACTGTGCAAACATTAAATAGCATTAACAGAAAAAAACATGTTTCTTTATATAAAAATAAATACACAATTAGTTTTATTCCAAGCCTCTTCACAATTACATTGAATTGAATCATGATTAAAATCAATTAAACTTGACTCTCTTCATCTCTAGCCCAAAAAAGAGTGGTGGCACTTAAAGGGTTATAAATTCAAATTTTGTAATGTTCAAAGAAATATCTCTCACTCATGGTTGTTGCTCCTAGCATGACTCACAGATGTGTGTGTATTGTTTGATTCAGGCGGTGACGGGCCACGAGGAGTGTGTGGAGGCTCTGCTGCAGCACAGTGCCAGTTTCATGGTACGGGACTGTAGAGGCCGCTCTCCCGTTCACCTTGCGTCGGCCTGTGGGCACGTTGGGGTTCTGGGGGGCCTTCTGCATGCTGCCCAGTCAGTAGAGAGCATTCCTGTCATCACTGACCACCAGGGCTACACGCCGCTGCACTGGGCCTGTTACAACGGTGAATAAACCCACACTTGACCATCACAGACCCCCATACACCCTGCTTGTATAAAGACCTGATCACATCAGACCTCATGATCAAATATTAATGCACTGTTCACACTCTTATGCCAGTTTTAAAAGTGAAGCTTTTGGAGATCTTCTGAAGTAGTGTCTTGTGTCGTAATAGTAAAATTTATAGTGAAAATGCATGAGTGTCTCGAAAGGTCAGAGATTTTGGCAGTTTTTGAAAAGAAAATCGAAGTACACTGAATGGGATTAAGATATGGTCACACTTTATTTAAAGAGGTGTTCAAAAGACTGTCATGAAAGCTTTCTAATTCTGACATCACATTTGGGCTAGGTGAAAATTTGATAATAATTATGTTACATATTTTTTAATAAAAAGATAATGACACATCAATAAGTGCTGAATAATTTTTATACACTATGCGTAAAGCTGTGCAGGCATTTTGCAGCCTGCACTTCCAGATGCCGCACATAGTACAAGTTTACAGGCATACAGTGTTAGTTGGGTTTTGAGGAGTAAGTTAAAGAAAAAAAAAATCACAGACGTTAATGACAAGAAACGTCACTAAACTTTAGTAGTCTGGAGCTACATACATTTTTGCAATCTGACACAAAACAGAGCAAAAATGTGTTGAATCAGCTGCACAAAGGGACAAATGCTGGAAATCCTTTAAAATTGATAGATATAAAGATTTAGCATCTATTGTGATGATTATTGATATCGGCTGATATGGAAAACATTTTGGTGATAATTTTTTTGCCTTATCGCCCAGCCCTACATCCCACGTCATGAGTGTGAATGAGATGTTATGCATGCTTATGACAACTGTTTTCAAGTGTCATTTTATCAATTTTGTCTTTTTAAAATTATTGGTTAAGACAACTTGACATTTCCATGACAACATAAATCTTTCATAAATATGATTGTCCTAAGTAGGGCTGCATGATTCTGGCTAAAATGAGAATCACGATTTATTTTGCTTAAAAGCAAGATCACGATTTTCCTCATAATTCTGTAGATGTAAGATAAAGGTTAATATGAGCAGGCTATTATAATTGCTCGTTTCTACTGACTGGTACGGTTCGGGTCGGTACGGGTCACCTTTATCAGGCTTGCGTTTCCACTACCAAGGGTACCCTTTTGGTGGGGTGGTGTATGACAAAGTTTCAGATGATGTCATTTTCGCTTGAGAAAATGTCTACAATAAAGCTGCACAGGTCGTTCACATATCATATGCGAAGCACTTCTTACAAAACAGATGCTTTACAGACATAAATACTTCTGTATAAATGTTTATTACTAACTTTTCTATGAACATGAGTTGATTATAACTGCAGATCAATGACAGTGCGAAATAGCCTACTTTAATGTCTGTAATTATATAACATAAATAAATAAATTAATAAATGAAAAATATATGAACACATTACAGTCCCTGATATGTTACCAACTACAGAAAAAGTACACACAGCAGACATTTCGTCCTTAATTAGGTTTAAAACAACAAAGTATAGCCTACAGTCAGTGAAAACCTCTCATCTGTGTCTGTAATCATCAGCAGGAAATGTAGCCTCTGTTAGAAAGTCATTCCATCATTCCAGTTCATATTAGTCCAAAAGGTGATGATAAAAATTAAAACAAGGCAGTTAATTCATGTTTGCTGAAGAAATAACGTGCTTCTTGGCTTCCCCTTTTTTTCCGCGCTCCACTCTCGCGTTTGTCCTTTTCTTTCCGAATATGTCATTCTCGCGTTTGTCAGCTACTCACAGGATCAGGTTTCCAAAGCTTGTCAAAAATACAGCGCACATTATTATTATCAGCTCAAGAATTTTGTTATTTCAGATAGAGACGCGCGGCGAGCGCAAGAAAGAAAGCGAAACCACTCGCTCTTCAGACTGGCTCGTAATAAACTACGAGGCACAGGGTAGATTCTGCTCTACTCCATGGCTTTGTGGCTGTTCATCAAGACGACGACAAGGTTTGTTTGAGCTCGGATCGGCCATGGCTCGTTATTATATGTCTATGTAATTCGCTGTAATCTCTCACTGTGTATTTCAAACATGGTGGGTTCTTTGTTTACATTCTGGCTTGCTGCGTAAGCACATGACGTATCTTTGTAAACCAATAGCGTTCAGCTGCGCGTCTAGCTCCGCCTTTTGGTACCCTTTTTTGTGTTTGGGACCCTTTCGAAAGGGTGCCGAAAAAGTAGTACGATACGGTTTGGTTCGGTACGCCTTTTGACAGTGGAAACGGCCATAAAAGCGTACCAAACCGAAGCATACCGTACCGTACCACTCAGTGGAAATGGGCCATTATTGTTATTTCTCAAGCAAATGGTACATAACCTACTGTTAGTTAAAATGCTTAATTTAGTATAGACTTTGAATGGTGGATTTGAACAGACTTTAAATATCTCCTGGTCGTTAATTCACAGTAATTACATCAGAATATTCATAATTCTAAAGTCGAATTATTATGTTTGAGACATATGATTGTCATTTGTCGTTGACAACATTATTCAACCTATTTTTTCCACTGGTAAAATGAAAGATTTGTCGTTATCAGATTCACTCTTGCATTTTTTTACATTATATAAGCTAGAGTAGTTATATACCATTTTAATGTGGTCATGTCATTGGCCCATGTACATTTCCTGCTTGTTATCAAACTATTTCATAACTGTGACAATGTTAATGTTAAAACAGCTATCATAGCATTATTTTTCAGTATGTGGCTTTTTGGATTCTCAGAAGCTATAGAAATTAAAAATATAAAACAGGATTTACGTTAGGACCATTGCTATTCACTATTAGAATGCTAATGCTCTTCCCGCATGGCTCCCAAACGATCACTCTGTGCAACAAACTGAACGTTATTTACACTTTATTACCTGTTATTCACGGCCTATGCAGGTTCTGTTCACTAAAGTAGACAACATTGGCAGGAATGTGCACGTCTTCTCGGTAGTAGACAAACAGTGCGTCAGTTCACGTTTGGTTTTTTGTGTCCATGTTGCTGAGCAACTTATATACAACAATGTGAAGACCGACCTTAGGCTTCTCCACTGACCTTGAAAAAAATAATTGGCTTAATCGTACAAAAGATGAATTAAGATTGTGTGTAGGGTTGAATTGAAATGGCAATCTTTTTTCGATTAATCTTGCAGCCCTAGGCATAAGGCATTATAATTGTGGCATGAATATTTTTCTGATCTTGTTTTCAGTGGAACAAAATGTCTCAGTAAAAGTGTCATTAACAAAAAATTTTTTAACAGCATTGTTTAATATTTAATGATATTTTAATGACATATTTAGCTTGTGCCACTGTAGCTGAGCTAAAAAAAAAAAGGAAAAAAAAAATGTTGCCGTTATAAAATTCATGACATTTATAATGGCTTTGACAATCATGTTTATGACAGATATATGACAAGTTTGGTTGTCTTGGTAATGTCAAATTGTCATGACAAAGACAAAAACAGGTTATGATGTATTTGTCATCACAAATGATGTCATCTTTGCATTTAAAATGTCATAACTGAGTGGATGACAGTTTTTATAAGCATGCATAAAATCTTATTCACAGTCATGTCATGATTATTAAGGTTTAATGACAGTTTTATGAACACCCCTTCAAATAAAGTCTTAATCAATATTGGTTTGTGTTGTGTTAATATGTACGTATTAATCTGCAAAAAACTGTTTAGATATCTGATTTATCTAATGCTGAGTCTCAATTCGCCTTATAGTACATCCTAAAAGCATGCACATATTTTTTTGTGAAGAAAAAGTATGTTTTTTTTTTTGTTCAATTCATGTTTATTTATATAGCGCTTTTACAATGTAGATTGTGTCAAAATAGCTCAACATTAACACTTAGCATTCACAATATATCACTTAATTATTGTTATCAATATAATTGTATAGACCATTTCAATGTAGTGATGTCATTGGCTCATGAAAATTTCCTGCTTTTTGTCAAACTATTTTATAACTGTAACGAGGCAATTTAATGATAGCTTCACATTAAAACACCTGCCATAGGATTATTTATCAATACTTAGACTTTTTTGGATTCTTGGAAGCTGTAGAAATTAAAGATGTAAAACAGGAAATTCGTTAGAGCCATTATTGTTTACATCCCTCAAAATGGTCTTTATGCAATCTAGGTCATTGTTGCTAAAGCTGCTCTAATAGTTTTCATTCACTTGAATAAACATGAAACTAAATATAAATATTGCAAAACGTTAGGGTGAATATTATGGACAATAATGGTCTCGTAAAATTATCAGTATCGCGATAATGCTATATATAATCTACGTACCACACACATGCCTTGGTTTTATGCCTTGGTTATCTAAATTTTACCATTCATATTGGGCCTTACTATCTTTATCCCCGCCTGCTCAGTATTAACTCTTCTGCTATTGGCTGGAGCAGCTCAAAGGTCAACCCAGAGCTGAAAATAAATATTTACTGCGGTCAAGTCAAGACAATAGGAAGATGACTACAGACAATCAGAGTTAGATTACCTGCTGAGGTTTTCACTTATAGACTTAATGTTTCTAAATGTCTGAATTAATTAGTTTGATCTGAAAAATGTATTTTACCTGTTGAATTTACTATAATTAAATAAATAAATGATTTAATTGATTTATTGTTATCAGAGCAGTCAACAACCATGTCATATATCGCATATTTTCCCATTTCCATGTCATATATTGCATATTTATTGTGCAGTGCTAATTAGGACACAACAGAAACGTTTGTTATTTTCAAAATGCAAGACATGATGGAAGGGTATTTTGGAGTGTTGTTTTGCTTTAAACTATCAAGGTCTGATTTGTTGTAGTAAGTCAATGATATTAGCCAATATTTGTTTTAATAACCCCAAAAATGTCAAATTCTGACCTGCAATATCATCAGACATGGTGTTTTTGGCATGTTTAGTCATTGAGCAGGATTAGAGAAGGCTGTGGGGTGAAGTGTGTTTTACATCAGATGGTCTCTCTGCAGGTCATGACACTTGTGTTGAGGTGTTGCTGGAGCAGGAGTTGTTTCATAAGACTGAAGGGAACCCGTTTAGCCCCCTTCACTGTGCTGTGTAAGTGGATTTGGGTTGGCTTGATGTGTCTATGTTTTTAAAAAAGGGCAAGTGTTTTAAAACTGATTATTGTGTTGTTGTTTTTTTACAGAATAAATGACAATGAAGGAGCAGTCGAGCTGTTGATAGAAACACTTAGTCCTGTCATCGTCAATGCAAATGATTCCAAAAACAGGTACCATTTATATACCTTTCCTTTGTTCATCATCTAAACAGTTATTAAAATGTAGTGCTTTTGCTTCCTTTCTCCTTCGTTTTTAACAGCTTCTTTAAAATGCAAGATATGTCGTTACTAAAGATGTTTAAATAGTTTCCAAATATGAACATGGCAAAACTGAAGTTTAATATAAAATTTAAAAGGAAAATGTAAGTACTTTTAAATTATATTCTAATTTTTATATATGATATTTATATTAATTGTTGTATATCTATCAAATCTATAAACGTCAATGATTACAATAGAAATATAAATTAATATTAATTAGAAATAAAATAGTTAGGGCTATTGCTTGTTAAATTTATTTGATGTTTTGGTTCATTTACTTAAAAACAGTCGCTGTGACTTTTTTTTTGTATTTGTATGATATTTTCTCAATTAAACATACAAATGGACTACCTTTTCGTTATGTTGGTGGCTGTTTTTTCCCCATTGACATCTATTATAATTTTATTCTTGATTGTTGGTGGTTTTCCCTGTTGGCAGGAGGTAAATCTTGTAATTTTTACTGGTGATCATCAGTTGGCACTATTAACCCATTAGATAGGCCTGTGCAAAGAAGTTTCTGGCTTTTATGTCGAGTTTTATGAAGTATAATTGCAAATTATAATGTGCATGCATAAATACACTTACTATGTCTTCTATGTTCTGAGAGCTAAGGTGTTTGCTTTTGATTTTTTCAATCAAATAAAACAAGTGTGCAGAGGTCACACACACACACACACACACACACACACACGCATACATACTTTAATCCATATAACTCCATATAAAATCCAGAAACTAAGCTTTTTTTTTTTTTTCCACTGCAATTGATGTCCACAGTAAAAATGACAAATTGTACTTCTTCCCTACAGAGAAAACCACCAACAATAAAAAAACACATAATTATATGGTGACATGTTGTTGCATTAAAAAAAGTCATAATAATGGAAATCAATGGGTCAAAAACAGCCACCAACATAACAAAATGGTAGTCAATGTTAGCAAATTTTGCAAAGAACAGTACATAGTAAGTACTATGTAATTTCTTGTCAAATGTAATGGAATGTTTTAGAAACAACTTTGCTACAACAAAATAAAACAAACTCTCTTTAAAGTCTAGTTTTCAAATAATGCTAAAATAATATTTCTGTGAAATATTATGTAGCTGTTATTCCTTAATCTTAAGTTTTGCTTTTGGGGAAAAAAAGTATTCTGTTTTACCTTAGTAGCATTTTTTTTTCTAAAATCTGATCAGTTTATTGTTTTTGTTTTTTGTTTTATGAACTTTATAGATATTACACTTTTCATATCAGGGCTCCTCAATAAGGACTGCCCGATGGCCGGGGCCAGTATGCGAGACACTCGGGACAGTAAACAGGATTGTTACTGATGCAATCGAGCCAGTGTTGCCTTGTCTCTAAAGTTAAATTTGCCTGCGACTATTTGTCCAATGCATGCAAATACAGTCTTGAAATCGATAAGTTTGTGCTTTTAAGCCCTTAAATGCCATCTTCTCTGTGAAGCTGTAAACCTCATATTGCTTTTTAGTTCCTCTTATCTGATTGGATGTTGTGAGCATGATATTTTTTACCTTAACTTAAAAGCAAAGAGACAGCAACATCAAATTATGAGACTTAAAGAAAAAACGTCTGTTTCTAATGTCTTTAAGCAGACATTTATGTGGGTACAACTTAATAAAAACAAATGAAGGGATGTTTTGCACAGTTTGCTGACAGTTTGGCAGGTCAGCCACCTTTTGTTTTGCAATAAATACCTGCACATTTTGCATACAGCTATTTTTGTTTGCATGATACTTTAAAATTGTGCTCCTTACAAATTCATTAAAATTTTACAAATATTTAAATTCTAGATTTACAGACATTATTTTTGACATTATTTAAAATGTGTGACTAAGAAAAAGCTATTCACTTTTTTTGGTGAGGCAAGTAAACATTTTTGAAAAAGCAAGTAAAAATCTGAACCACTGGCCCAATCAAATCCATAGTGTTGAATCCTGCATAGGTTAACGAATAAATATCATATTAAATAACATTCAGTGGGACTGAGGTCTATACTGTAACTGTTTTCTGTCTGCAACAGGACTCCTCTTCACGCTGCTGCATTCACCGATCATGTGGAGTGCCTGCAGCTCCTGCTGGGCCACAATGCACAGGTGAACTGTGTGGATGCTGGAGGAAAAACCCCGCTCATGATGGCCGCTGAGAACGGCCAGACTAATGCAGTTGGTAGGAGTTTGACACTGGATGCCTCAAATGTTTCTGGTTAACTGGGTGTGTGTTTGGGTTTGATGTGTCACGATGTCTGTTTGTTTGGCAGAGGTGTTGGTGAGCAGTGCTAAAGCAGATCTCACGCTACAGGACGCCAACAAAAACACTGCTCTCCATCTGGCCTGCAGTAAGGTAACAAACACTCTGCTCTCTTGTGTCTTAATTCCTCGAATGAAACCATGGGGCAAGATGGGAAATGACATTTTGTGTAGATTTAGCATGTTTAAATTAGCACTGGGTGGTATGATGGTATATATCATTGCTGCAGAATGAAATTTGTATCTTAAAAGATTTTATTTTATTCCATGTGTACTGTGAATGTAAATAAGTGCATGTAGCCAACTCGCAATATGCATGAGGTCAAGAAAAAAGACACTACTTGGGCTCTATGTTAATGATCTAGGTGCAAAGTCTGAAGCGCATGGCACAAAGCATTAAGGGCATATCCGAATCCATTTAAAAAGAAAATGGCAACATTTGCTTGATTTCAAAAAGTATCTAGGGTCTGATTAAAATGCAGACAAGAGTAAGCTGTAGAAGAGCAACGGAAAAGTGTGCTGCGCAAAAGTAAATTTGTGGTTCCACAATTAGTGTCTGTGTGGGAACTTGATTTTAAACCATGGATCTTTTGCATGTAATAATAAGGATTGTATTTGGTTGTATTTGTATTTTGGATTGTATTTGGTACATGCATGCATCAAACCAAAGTCCTGTACCAAATCGGTACAACCCTAACATTTACTAGACTTTATTTCCAAAAAAGTGATGTGAAAATGTGATCATCTGTTTATTAAACACTGTGTATTTCATTTATTTCTCTAGGGTCATGAAACCAGTGCCTTGTTGATCTTGGAGAAGATCACCGACAGAAACCTCATCAATTCCACTAACGCAGCTTTACAAACGTACAGTCAACATATAGATTATGTAAATGAGAATGTGTTTTAAATGTAGTGCAGGAAATCTAATATTAAGTTCTTGTTTTCCAGGCCCTTGCATGTGGCTGCCAGGAATGGCTTGACTGTGGTTGTCCAAGAACTGCTTGCTAAGGGTGCTAGTGTGCTTGCCGTGGATGAAAATGGTAAATGAGTACGATTTTTAACTTTAAAGAAATAGTTTGTTTTTTTTGTTTAATATTAGAGATGCAATGTTTTAGTGTTTCTTGTATATACCTAGATGTTGACTGCATGGACATTACCTATGAAAAATGTATTTTATATTTATTTTGTTAATGCAAGGATGCATTAAATACTGCCAGAAGTGACTATAAAGGCATTAATAGTTACAAAATATTTATGTTTAGGATATTATATTTATAAATTATTCAGTTAAAAATAGCTTTGAAAATAGCTGCACAAGTTAAAACTTTAAATGATTCATAAATGAAAACTTAGGCCCACTTCCAATTCTACCCCTTAGCCCTTCCCCTTACCCAACCTCTCATTTTGCGCATTCACGTCAAGGGGTAGGTGTGTCCCAATTCTCTTTAGCTTGAAGGCCCAGGGGAAGAGGTGATTACACCTTCGAATGAAGATTTTTCAGGAACACACTCTAAACCAAGTGGTTAAAAAATTTCCTCGAATACCCCAGCCACAACGGCATATAGTTACACCCTGACGTAAGATCTACAAATTAGTATAAAACAGACGCTAAAATTAAAACCGCTAAGTTTTGCAATCTATAATCCATAATCATAACTCCTGTTTAGCAGTTCCACAACATTCTGATACTCGATAACACTCAAATACTCTGTCAGAAAAGTCTAGTGGCTGGGAATTGGCTTTTTACGGTGTCTGCTATTATGTTATTGTTAAATGCACATTATTACGGTCTTATTGTCACATTGGATTGTTATGATAACATAATAACTTGCCTTCAGTGATTTCCCGAAGATAAATACCAATAAATAACTCAACTGGAATAACTACAGCAGTTGCCATCGTCTGATCTCATATGAAGCAAGATATTGCGATGACATATGATGACGTGTGCAGGTGCAGGTGCTGTAGTGCTTGCCCAATTCTTAGGAGTACATTTTAAATTTTAGGAGGGGTGCAAAAATAGAATTGGGTCTTAATCTCACAGTGGTCACTCATGTTCAACCCTCCCAAACCGCAGTGTTTAGAGGGAAGGGCAGGTTCAAGTTTTCCTGGGTCGGCGACTCCTATATGACGATGTTTTGTATCTACAATAACATGAAACGGCAAAACACATTTGAAAACAAGATGATTCGTATAAACAACAAGGAGTCAATTTAACATTTCTGGGAATGTGTCTGTTAATTCATTGGTCTGTCTACAAATTAAGGCCAGCATGAACTTAGAACTGTGTTACACACTGCATGGAATATAGTTATAAAAAATCCATAACAGGGGCTCTTTAAGTACAGAAGTTTTTTTTTATTTTTTTTACAAAAATATGAGGCATTATTATTTAACAAACTCTCGTATTACTGTATTATGTTTATTACATGTATTATTTATGCTCACTGTGGTATGTTTATTGTCATATTTTTTGTGTTCACAATTTCAAATTAAAATAGTAAAAATTTGATTGAGAAGAAACATTATTTCTATTTGATTTGACTATTTCATCTGTTCCTATTAATCTTTATTACTCCCTAAGGCTACACTCCGGCCCTGGCTTGCGCTCCTAACAAAGATGTGGCCGATTGCCTGGCGCTCATCCTGGCCACCATGATGCCAGTTTCTCCTGGCGGAGGCTCGGTGCCCACGCTCACATTCAGTGCCATCAACCACTACACCAGCCCCACTAAAAGCGTCACCTTCGACAGCCTACCAATGCTCCGCTCCGAACACAGCTCCTACTGCAGCTTTAACAGCATTGGCCGCCACGACGGCTTCTACAAGGACGAGGAGCTCAACGACTCCGACTCAGAGACTTACTGAGGTAAACAAAAGCAGAGGCGCACATCTTGTCTTAATTACCCAGCGGCCGGCCACTCCGCAGAGCCTTAAGAGTCTCTACACATACACACACACATACACGTGGCGCAGCAGGCTGGCCTTCCTCATCCATCAGCTCAACCTCTGCCAATGCATCTTGCCCTATGTAAATTTTAGGAATAGGTGGACGGACCTCCAGATGTGGCAATAACAAGACAAGGAATCAGCAGCCTGGGGACCAATATTTTTGCACAGGATGGTTTGACACTGTCGTATTGCAAACACGGATTCATATATAATTTTTCAGATCTTGAGGGATAATTTAAATCAGTCGCTTTAAAAAAACAAAACAAAACATAACTGGGACATTTGTGTGCTTTCAAACAGTTTTCAGTCGGTGTGCACTTCTGATCAACTATTGGGGGAAAGAAATGATTTATTTTTTAAACAAACGTGATTTTAATACCTGTCTCTGACCCTCTCGAAGGGGGAAAACAAATCGAGTAGTTTCTAAAGCGCAAAGGTGAAATTTGAGGATATGAACATCAGCGTTGTGTAATGCTTTCGGCCACAAGCATGAGTTTAAAACAAAACAAAAAAAACAGCTAACACCTCTCTCCATCTTCAGTTTTAGGATAAATTATTCTTTTTATCTATGGTATTTATTTTTACTTTCCGCATTTCATCATCATTTTGTGCCTTCATAAATTACTGTATGGAGGGAAGGGGCAGCTCGAGAGAACAAATTCTACAATGCACAAGAAGTTCAACACTACATCTGTGAAAAAAGCACTGAAAATGAAAGGCAAACGGCTCCCAGCATGCTTTGCTCCAGGATGAGGAACACTGTGTAAAAACCAATGGTAGAACAGCATTTGATCTCTTTGTATGTTGATATATGAATATAAATATATATTATATTTTTTCTGGCTCTTATTAACATGACGTTTTTTGAGCAGGTTTGCTCGCTTTGAATTAGCAAATGAAACCACTCGATACTTCTGTGATGGCCTGTCAGAAAAAAACCCCTGTGTTTGTCTCTTTTCATGCTTTTGAGTTTTGGAATGATTGAAACTGGAAACCTGTTCAGTACAGCTTCCCGTCTGAGAGGGGGGCAGCAGAAATCTGTTTGCATCGCTCTTCTTTTATTACCAGTCTTTTTTTGTGGAAATAAAGGAGAGTGATTGGTGCAGTTGATGGCCACTGCTGTCCTTCTATTCGGAACAAGAGATTCCTGTATATTTTATGGTTGATTAAATAAATAAATGAGTTCAGTAATTTGAAATTGTTGTTGTTGTCAAGTCCTTAAGAAAACGGTACAGAACAAAAATGAAATAACCCGTGGTGGAAAGAGTACTGAAAAATCATACTCAAGTAAAAGTACCATTATTTGCCTAAAATGTCGTGCAAGTAGAGTAAAATCATCTGTTGTATAATTACTCAGATTATGAGTAAAAAGTAGACTTTTCAAAAGCACTCAAGAGTAGTGAGTATTATGCTGTAAAAAGCTGATGTGTTTACATGCAAGTTGTACGTGTGTGTGTCTGTGTCTGTGTCTGTGTGTGTGTGTGTGTGTGTGTGTGTGTGTGTGTGTAAATGTAACATTCTTTAGTGCATCGAGTTCTTGCCCAGCAGGCACACAACATCATAAGTCATTAATATTAGGTAAGATTCCAGTTGTGATGTCAGGTGGCCAAAATTCAATGTCTAGTCAGCGTCTAAAGACGTAATTTTGATGTCTAATAATGACGTCAAATGACGTTGATATTTGGTCGATTTTTAGATTGTTAGAAAGTGGCCATAATCTACCGTCAAGTCAACATCTTAAACCAACGTCATATTGACGACAAATACTGACATTTATTCGTCAGGTATGGCAACTAAAATCCAACATCTGATAGACGTCATAGTAATAACGTCCACACAACATTAAGCTGTAACATCATTAGACATTGATATTTGGTTTGTTTTGGGTTGGGCATTGATGTTGGCCTGACGTTCAGTTCTGACGTCAACCTTATTTTTATTTCTAAACAAAATGCAATGTCCATGACATTAGGGTACAACGTCAATCTGATATGTTGACATCTTGTGCCTGCTGGTTGTTTAAGGCCATTTCGGTCATCATACAGTAAGCATCTGTCATCTTCTCATCAGTGGCATGCATTTAAACAGTCTCTGGGTGAATGCATTTAAAGATTTTGGACATCATTTTGAACACTTTTAATGCTTCCAAACAGTTTGCTGGACGTCTTGAGGTCATTCATTATGATGCCATTTACCCTCTGTGTGCTATTTGATTGGATAGGAATCACAGGACTGATTTTTCTAATTCCCAAAGACAAGAAAAAATTGTGAATGGAAGCGCCTCTTGTTAATACATGGTACAATAGCTTCGTTGTCGCACTGTAAAATAATGGTAGGGGTGGGCATTTGTCCCCCTACGGGATGGCAGATGGATGGAGAGCTGAGGATATGGGGTGTGGCTTGTCTGGTGGTCCTGGAAGTACCTCTTGAAGACTGAGTGAAGTGATAGTGGAGTGGAGTTAAAACCCCTTAGTGAAATAGATATGTTTAAAATGCAAATGTATCTGACACCGAGTCAATAGATGAAACGTTACTCCATTTGTCAAAAATTCCCTCCTATTCATAACAGTCAGCTGGAATTTGGTTCTTTGCTGTTTTCACATCCAACCAACTTGCGTATGACACTTTGTGTATGGACATAAGGGTCGCATATTACGATTGGACTTTTATTCTCTGTGTTGAATGTTTTTCACTAGCTGGATAATAATCTTAAATTAAAAAAAAATTTGTTTACATTTATTTAAGAGACTAAATGAAGGCATAAATAGCCAATCAAAACAACAGAAGAGCTACAGGGGTAGACCCTGTAAAAAGTCTCATTTACTTAGGCATGGTGTAAATGGCAGACTTTTTAAAGGGGTGGTCCAGAGTGTATTTTTAATCCTTGGTTGTGTTTATAAGATACAAAGCAATGTGTGGTCATGCTTCATTTGTTGAAAATCATATTGTTTTTTTCATATAAACAGTCAGAGTAGCTCTTTGCCATATCAGTTTATGCGTGAATCAGAAAGAAAATGACAAAGAGGACACAGCTGAAGTCAAATCTGACTTGCGTCTTTTACATATATTTGGAATGAGCATGTGTAAGTAAAATGAAATGTTCACATATCTTTTGCGAGATTATTTGAGATGCAGAATGCAGGAAATGAGAAGAAGAAGATAGAGAGGATGTGCTGCTGAAGATTGTGGCTGTTTATAGTGGTTGATAAATATGAATCTGTAGCTACATTGCTAGCGGTGCCAAGCTACGTCCTTGCTACAACATACCATTAACGCTAGAAACGATACATGTCAGATCAATTTTAACAAATAAAAATAGTTACTGGTTGTGGCTCACAATCCACAGCTTCTTCTATTATGGTTTGAGGAGTTTTCAGCCAAATCCAGCACTGAACTGGGAGAGATTGTTGAAGCTCTCCTTTGTCAAATGCTTGCTAAATATTTTTTTATAATTCTTAGGAACATAATTTGAATTTATTTGTAAGCACTTTGCTCTTTGTGTCATGTGCTTTGGAAGCCCGGAAACCTGCATAACCTGAAGTGCTTTTGATGTCACTAGCCCTGTGTATTTTTTTGGTAATTCTCCAAACTTTGTTTTCTGTTGGCTTTGCTAAGCTGTCTCTGTAAAAGCCAATGTCTCCCTTTGCATTGAACTTTAAAGGGTCACGAAACACCAAAACACATTTTCTGAGCTGTTGACAGTCGTATATGTGTCCCACACTGCTAAAAACACTATTAGGACACAGATTTCACTAAAAAGTGAAAATTGGTAGTTTTTGAGTTATTTCGAGCAAATTTGTACTTCTGGTTTGAAACATTTTTGAAGCTGCGTCATGGTGTAGACTGGACGTCTGTACCTATGTATACCATATTACATCTAAGGGTGTGCTGCATTAATGCATAAGTAAGGCTTGGTTCAAACCAATCAGCACGCTCAATTGTGCAACTTCATTAATATCCAGCACAGCTGGACTCACCATGGATTACAGTATACACGACATGACGTGTGACAATAACTTGCGTGTCTAGGAACATTGTTTACCCGAAAGCTTTTCTCTTCTGCAAATGGAGATCTGGATTTGCTTGTAGTCTCTTCTTAATAAAGACGCGGCTCTAGTTGCTGGTGATTGTCCTGTCTCTACAGATTTGGTAAGTGAGCGACCAGTGCTCTTTGTTTATTCAGTTTGTTCGTATCGAACTAACTATTACACCGTGTAAACATGTTATCACCACAACCAAACTATTACCGTTGTGTAGGATTTTCACCACATTTTGTGACCGGAATAACACTCGCGGCTTTCTGACACTACCTGCCAAATGCATCTAAGTTACAGAGAAATGCAGTTGTTTTTTTTTTCTCTCATTCGCCGTGCGGTATCAAACACTGCATGAAAAATACATGCTTAGAGCAGTTCCTCGAATCAAATATCTCGTTTGTCACGAGGGGCATAAATGAATTCCCTGAATGAAAGAGCCAAACTGCAGTTAAAGTCCACCATTTGATAATTTGGCAAATAATTCGACTACAGATGTCCATGTAAACACAGTCACTTTCTCCCGTGTGTGTGTGTGTGTGTTTGTTTGTTTTGATTCTGAAACTCAGCGCGTGCCCAAATAGACACTCCCACACCATCCCTCTTTTGCTCCTCCGACACTCCCCCCTAAACACTGCTGGACACGCTCATTTTCTGGCTTTTTCCCAAGTAGAGGTGTGAAAACGCCCTGCTGAAACGAGGGGGTTTCATGGCCCTTTAAGCATATTACATCCAAAGATGTTGTTTATGTTCACACAGCTACTTAACACGTGAACTAAGGTTTAAAAATATAATATCGTAGTGGACCACCCCTTTTAAAAAACACTCTTACTGCAGCCTTTTGGATCAATTACAGAGGTTTGAGAATGTTGGCTTGGAGCCCTGCCAAGAAATCATTGCGATAGTCCAGCCTGGACAGAACAAGAGCTGTGGACTGGATAGAAAAAGTGTGTAGCATGTTCTCATACTGTAGGTGGACATCTAATCTTTCATATATAGTACAAGTCAAATCTGCAAAACCAGACAGTTCTGTGCCTTGTAAAGTGTAGCTTGTCATCGTTATCATTCGTGATTCCAAGCTTCCTGGTTGTTCTAGAGAAGTTGACAAAATGCCCTGTTGTGATTTTAAATGTTGGGTAGACCAAAACTATGAGCACCTCTGTCTTGACAAGGTTACGTTGAATGTAATCCTTGCTTCATATTCCAAGAAATGACATGCTGAAGTAATTTCAAGAAGCTGCCATCAAGTTGGTATTGGAGGAGTTATATCAGCATATAGTGGTGGTAGGAAAACCTGTACTAAATGACAGATCCAAGAGATCAAATGCTAAAGGAGAATGACACTAGCGGTGATGGGAAAACCCATACTAAGTGACATATCCAGTGATATAGATATGATGCAAATAGAAAAAGTGAAGTGGTCTAACAACTAAGCCTTGAGGCATTCTTATAGCTGAATAATATGACTCGGACACTTTATCCTTCCAGGACAACCTGATTGACATGTCTGAGAGGTAAGACAAAGCAATGCACTATTTCCTAATGTGCAAACTTTCATGAGGCATGTGTCAAAAGCAGCAGACAAATCGAGGACTGAGGAGTGACCTTTGATAGGAAAATCCAAGCTAAATGACAGATCCAAGTGTTACAAAACAGAAGGAAAGAAGAAGTGATCCACCAACTGAGCCTTAAGGCAACCCTAAAGCTGAATATTATGACTTGGACACTTCATTCCTCCAGCCTGAATGACAGGTAAGACTCAAACCACTGCACTGTCTATTTGATAAGATGTCCATTGAGGGCTGACAGGAGGTTTTGATGCTAAGCAGTGTCAAAAGCAGCAGAAAAATCAGGGACTGAGGATTTAAAAACCACTCTTGCGAGTCTATACTTATTTTTGACGCACACTATATATACAGTTGAAGTCAGAATTATACTTTTCTTTTAATGTTTCCCAAATGATGTTTAACAGAGCATGGACATTTTCACAGTATGTCTGATATATGTTTTTTTTTCATCTGGATTGTGTTGTTTAATTTTGGCAATTTATATATATATGTGAATATACTATACTTTTCCGCAAAGAACAAAGCTCTTTTAATAACCACACTTTAAATTACAAGATAATTTCTTACTGTAACAGCTGACACTTAAATGCTAATAA